CTCACCTGACCTGGCTCCAGGTGATTTTTATGGCACCAGGTGAGTAGGGAGGTGTTTTAGGATTGTTACCTTTTCCCCAACCTCAAAGGTTTCATCCAGGGGACACGTCTGGATGTGGAAGCATCAACAGGGCCGTGACGATGGAGCTGCGAAAATGTATGTTGTCACAAAAATGACCCCTTAATACTTGTTATGATTTCCCAAAGCTTAGTTAACATTTCTCACCTGTGTGCTGGATGTATGGGCTCCAGCAGATTGACCCGACCGACCGGACGCCATCATGCAAGCAAAACGGACACTATGCTGCATTCACAGTGCTATGTGGAAATCGGACATATCAGCACTTAAAATGTGGCTGTTGATCTGCAAAATCTGGCATTTTATACCGCAATTGGTGCTCAGTACTGTCTAAAACAGATTTCTAAATGGAAGTTTGTCACTAGCATCAATTTTTACACTGCCAGTCACATGAATATGGTGTATATAAGTGTTGAGTCAGAATTTTTTTAGTTCCTACGTTCCCTGAAGGCACTGTCACTCATGATTCCACACCCCTCTCAGTTGATGCCACGCCCCCCACGCCACATCAGGGTCAAAAGTCTGAAACTCAAAAAACAGATTTGAAACTGAAAAAAAAAAAAGATCTGAAAGTGAAAAAAAGATTTGAAAGTGAAAAAATAAGATTTGAAACTGTTAAAAAATAAGATCTGAATCTGAAAAGATAAAACATGCAACTGAAAAAAATAAGACCTCAAATGTTAAAATATATATGGAAGTGAAAAGTGAAAATAAATTATTCATTCAAAAGAATTACCAAAGTGAATCAAAATTATATTTAACCTGAAAAAAAGGTTTCATATACTTATTTTTATTTTGAATACATTGTTGTATTTTTCAAAATTCAAGATCAACACATGAATTTTCAGTTTCAAATTTTATTTTTTCAAGTACAAAACATTTGACCCTAATGTAGCTCCATATTAGCACTGTTAGCGACTAAGTGTTAACAGTTTTAGCATAGCTAGTGGTCCTAACATAATTAACAATGCTTAAAATGAAGCAGCTTACTCACCCGAGTGACCTGAGGGGAGACCAGAGGGTGGCCACCATGTTACCAGTAGTAATTGCTGAATAAGCGGCGCTGCTAGCTAGTTACTACCCGACATTAGCTAACCAGTGGACACCAGAGGGTGGGCAGCAGGCACTATAGCCCTTTTTTCACAGAGGTCGCCGCTACAAAGTCCCTCCCTCATGCTGCCTTTGCATTTTTACACAATACAATGGCATCACGCCACTTCATTGTGAGATTATAGACAGCATACTGCGAAAGCAAAAGAGCCATGACGTGTGTGACATGTGACATGTGACACAACAGCGCCGGCCTCTAGTGTGACATAAAAAATACGCATCGTCAGTGCTTTATAGGCAATAACCATTACATAATATGGCAATAACACTCATTTACCATCCCTGTAACATTGCACCTGATCTCATCTTCTGCTCAGGGCTTAAGGAGCTTCCACACCTCATTGATTTCTCAATTTGCAGATATTTTTGGCCACTTCTACTTTAAGTTAGCTGCTAACTGCTAAAAGCTACTTTTTAAATCTGCCACAGTGGGTCACATGCAACACGTCGTCAAAACCTTACACCTGTGACGCCCATGATCCCATCCTGCCGTCTGTACGGACATTTGGCACTGTTGCTACCTCTGATGCCCCGTTAAAGGCGAAACAACTCTGCCCCCCCATTCTGCAGTAGTACCTGTTTCACAACACTGTGAGACAGATCCTTGAAGAAAAGGATCTAATGTTTCTGTGTGTTAATGCAGCTAGCCGGACTGTCTGACAGTGAGGCCAACAGCAAATATAACAAAAGACAAGACATTTACATCACAAAACATTAAATTCCACCACCTCTAAATGGACAGTGCTTTGAAATGCAGTGCTAAAGCTCACTGAGTCAAATGAACGCCGGACCAAAAGCAAAGTCGTCTTGTATTTTATGTTGTTTTGCCTTTTTGTCTTTTTTCAGATCCACCAGTTAGTTAGTGGTTAATAGGTGTCAGGCTATCAAAAGCAAAACTAACTGAAACTGACATCCCTACTTTACACACACACACACACACACACACATCTTGCAGTCACAGTCTCTCTTTAACGCACTAAAACACACATACCCACACACATGCAGCTACAGCCGACACACACAGAGTGGCAGAGGGGTGAAACTGCCCCTGAATATAATACTGTGCTGAGCGCTGGAGCACAGCACGACAGGGGCTAGTGTTCGTCGCCTCAAACGCCATTGGGACCAATTAGGCAGCGCACAGAGCAAAGCACCGCCGAACGCTGCGCTTCACAGCCAGTTCAAAAGGCCTGCTGCTGAGACGGACAGCTGAGGGGGTGGGGTCGGATTTTCCTGAGGAGCGGGCATGTGAAGGGGGTGTTTGTGTGTGTAGGGTATTATTACATGGGGAGGGAGAATGATCACAGTATGCAGGGGATGAAGGTGCATGCGTGTGTGTGTGTGTGTTCTGTGTGTGTGTGTGTGTGCCAGCATCTGCTGCATCCATGGCTATGCTGATCTATGCCAGGCTGCTTGCATTGATGTTCCACCACCTGAACCTGTGCACCTCTTAAAGCTGCTGTGTGTGGCATTTTAGTCCATAAATCATTGCCACATTAATTTGGAGGCATTAGTGTAATTGTGAATAAATGACTGTAAACAAATGAGAGCACAGCTGAGGCACGTGGCCTCTATACTTTGTTATACGTTGTGCGTCACAGAGTGAGCTTTCATGGGATGTGTGCAGGTTGCTTTAGGGCAAAGAGTGAGCTTGTTTTGCTGCACACAAAGCAGGAAAAACAACATTATTCCTGCAGTGCACTCAGAGTTTCTCACAATAACGGATACTGTAATGATTTAAAATCCAATAGAGGGAGAGTGCGGACAAAGTGGCAACATTCAACAGGAAGCTGAGCACCGAAATGCACAAACGATACTACCAATTGATTAATGTTTAAATTTTGCAAAGATACCAACTAACCTGAGATAGATAAATTGATTTTTGAATGCCATCCATTGCACAACTAAGAGTCAACAGACTGTCATGGAAAATTATCACATATGAGAGAGTGTGAATGTCATCATGAATAATAACTATGAATGTATGACTCATCCATGGTCATGGTTAGATATTTTGAAAGGCCTCACAGTCCTTCACTGTCTAAGATCAAGACCTTGTAGATGTTTAGACTCCAGTGTTAGACACATCTGCATGATATGTGAAATACACGAAGATGCCATAACTTATTTAAAGTTAGATTTAAAAGGCTCCTAAAAATGCAGCCTTTTTCATGAACTCCCTCTTCCTCCAATTAAGAGAACAAAAGTGATGTCTCCTTCATTACCCTACGCATCCCCAAATCCACTGCACCTACTTACTTTTTAACAGGCACATTCCGGCAACCTTCGAAAGATATATATGCTCGGAAATTGTCAAGTGATAGTGGAATGTTAAAGGTTTCAAGTGCCATTTAAGTGTAAGTATGTGTTCAGGTGGTCAACAATCACTGATAATTATATCACATCAAAGGTTCAGGGTGCCCCAGTGATGTAATGGTTAAAGGAACAGTACACCTCAAATTCGAAAATGCATATTTTTCCTCTTACCTGTAGTGCTATTTATCAGTCTGGATTGTTCTGGTGTGAGTTGCCGAGTGTTGGAGATATCGTCCGTGGAGATGTCAGCCTTCTCTCCATTATAATGGAACTAGATGGCACTCAGCTTGTGGTGCTCAAAGTGGCAAAAAAGAAAATTGAAACACTGAACAGCAATGTCTCTTTCCAGAAATCATGACCTGGTTACTCAAGATAATCCACAGACCTTGTTGTGAGCAGTTTAATGTAGGAACCGTTTTCTTTCAACCTAACTATACTCACCAACCGCATCAACGTGCAGAAGGAAGTGTGCATCTACTGCTAGCTCACCTGGCACCACTGAGCTAGCTAACGTTAGAGCTCAACCAAGGAAGGCGCCATTAATGTTTCTGTCACAAGCATGAGCCTCTCATCCATGAGTAGATGCACTCTTCCTTCTGCACAGTGATACGGTTAGAGGGTGTAGTTCGGAAAGAGACACTGATGTTGAGTTTTTCAAATGTTTTTTATTGGCACTTTGAGCACCACAAGCTGAGTGACATCTAGTCTCATTTTATTTGAAAGAAGACAGACAAATCCATAGCCCATATCGCCAAAACTCAAATCTAGATTGTTAAATAGCTCAACGGGTAAAAGGGGAAATACGTATGTCTGATTTTGGGGTGAACTCCCACAACAAAGACTGGAAACTGAAACTGAGTTAGCCTGGCTACGTCTGAATATAACAAAATCCGCCTGGCAGCCCCTCTAAAGCTCACTGAATAACATGCTATATCCCCTTTGTTTAATTTGTACAAAAACCAAAGTGTAACAGCAACAGTTTGCCGTTTTCCAGAGGGGATTATGTGTCGTACTAGTTATTGGCTGGGAGCAGTAACTTCTGGAGACTCTCTGGTTGCCTAGCAACTGGATACAAAGTGTTAATTAGTGAGCTTTAGAGGTGCTGCTAGGCAGATTTTGCTACCTCTGGACAGAGCCAGGCTAGCTGTTATCCAGTCTATTATATCAATAGCTGTAGCCTGATATTATGATATTACAGATATGAGTGTTATAAATCTTCTAATCGAACTCTCGAAGCTTGTTTCTCAAAATGTCAAACTGTTCCTTTAACCAAATTCAATTCAACTAAATAAAAAGCCACTGCAACCCATGGACGAGCAATGCTACAATAAATGGAAGTTATATGGATAAACAGCTGACTTGGTACACTGTTTACCCGCTGTCCATCACGTCATAAGAAAACGACAACTCGTAATGTATCATAAAACGTAAGAGTTCACCACTTCCTCGTGACAGGAAACAGTAAAAGTTATGATCCAGCTTCCGTCGTCACTCACCTGAGCACTTCATTGGGGTTGCCTGAGATGGGGGTCTTCTTGTCAGGAGCTCCGTGGCACTCAGACTTAAGCAGGGTGTGAGGTCCACGGTCCATCATCATGGTGGAGGTTGCCATAGTGATGATGGCCACACCATCGCGAACGCGGGCCTCTAGGCCGTAGTCCCACTCGTCGTAGGACACGGAGAGCAGACCTGGATGGACGAAGCAAGAAGAGGAAACAGAACAATCAGAGGAGGTACGGTAAGATGTAAGACAGCAAAGGAAGATGAGAAAATGGAGGGGGGACAGAGGGAATAGTAACAATAGCGAGGTAAGTAGAAGAGAAGTTAAACTCAGGAAAACGAGAGATGAACTGGCAAAAAGTGAAGAGACAGAGAAACAGACAGATGGAGAACACTAAAGCAGGGAGAGGTGGATAATTCTGTTAGGGTATACAGAGTGTACATGTTTTGAACACACTCCAAGAGACAGAGCACACACTACGTGATGACTCAGAGAACAGATGAATAGCGCTCCCATCCTGCCTGACTAAGCGTCTATCACCTTGCTGTGTTTGTCCATCTGTCTGTCTAAAGCTCTGTCTGTCTCTGTTTGTTGGCCTTTGCACTGTCTGTACGCCTGTTTATCTGTCCTTCTGTCTGCCTGAGTCCTGTTCTCTTTTGACAATCTGTCTGTTTATGAACAATAATTTGCAGGTCTCTGTCTCCCTCTGTCTCCCTACCAATCTCTCCCGGTGCCCTTCCAACCATCCATCAGCCCATTTGACTGCTAGGATGTGCCTGTCCTTCCTCTGCCCCAACGTCACTCTCTGCTGTAGATTACCATGGAGTGAGGAGAAAGACAATGCATAAATTCTGGCATTTTTTTAACCTTTATTTCCCAAGGAAAGGCTGGCTGACAATGACTCAAACTCACACATTGGAGCAGCCAAGTGAAAGTCACGACTTATGTCGGCTGTACACCAAAGGACTTGATTGTTTCGTGTTAAGGGAGTCATAAAACTAGACCCGAGCTGTCTTAAGTCTGTCTTTATCTTGTCTTAATGTTCCGACAAAATCAAACACGTTCAATATTAGGGTATGTTTTTAGTCTTGGCTCATGCAAATCCTGAAGTTCAATGACCTGAACATTGTCAGCAACCAATAGCACCAAACAGGAAGCAGCAAACCAGGTAGGAAGTAAACATGGACGGTACTCCGGGGAGAAGCAGAAATGTTAACAAGTCTCGGTCTCTAGCACTGTGGAAAAGCAGGAGAAACTGGTGGAATGAGAAAGGGTCTGAATTTATTTCGGCGTGTATCTGATCCACCAACCAGCACTTATTTTAGAAATGTTAGCATTAGCATCTCATTCCCACGATCTCCTCTCACTAAAATAGCGCAGCTAACCAACGTATAATTTTGTCACACTTACATAAAGATCTTGAACGATCCCACACTACATTAGAGCAATAACCTTTATTCAAACACGCATATAAACACTATCTGATGGAAGGCCATACCTGCAACCACTGATTTAAATCCCATAGTCTTGCTCACTCCACTTCAGTCCGCTACTCTGCATTGTCTCTGTAGCTGCCTACATTTTGTTGTTTTGCTTCTGTTGACTGTTTCTGTTTTTATTCTGTATTGTAAAGTGTTTTTGTTGCATAACAGGAACCTGCCGAAAACCAGTTTTTGACTGAGTCAGGCCAGTTTTAACTGCAACACACAAGGTTACCTTAAATTTCCTTCTTGTATAAATAATTGAAGTGAAATGAAGTTATGTGTTATTGAGAACAAATAAGCAATTGTCATATGTCTTAAAGTGAAATGGTGTCATATATCCCACCAGGAGCATGATAGGAAATAATCTCAAAAAGAATCTGGTTCTAGTCTTGCTAACAGTGGCCTTACTAGATCCCCAGTCATTGCAAAATCTCATATTATGTGACTAAAAACTCACGTTGCCTTCACATGTGAGAGGCTGTCAGTCTTTTCAAAGTCTTCTCCTGTATGGTAGACATCACCTGTATGGGCTCCTGAATGCCTGACTTGTTTCTTAATCTATTCTTGCTCTATAATTAATCTAAAATAAAGAAAGAAAAGCACAGAGACCTGCCATGAGAAGATTTGATTCACTATGAAACTATTATGCATCTATTCAAACACGGCTGACATTTTGATAATGAGTTTCATTTATATTAAACCACTGTTATTGATAATATGATTAACTCATGACAAATAGTCACCATTAATTGATGACACACAGTGTATGCTGCCCAGCACACTGTGTGCAGTGTTTATCTCTTTTTAATGACCAATCATTTAGCTCTCTAGTTCACGGCTGTCAGGATTTCATCAGGTTGGAGCTAACAGGTGAGATTGTCTTTTTGCTTAAGGGGTCTGATTTTTTTGGATCCATTTAAGGATCTTTTTTTTTTCGCCAAATCTTTAACACATGTTGGGTTGAGGTCACGTGTCTTTATAGGACAGGGTCTAACATTTTGGACATGCAAGGGTTGTGACCACACATCAACCACGAAATTGCACTACTGGAAAATTAGCACAGCCAGTAGAGCGGCTGGAAGCTCAGCACCATTCCCAAGGTTCACATCAAGGGAGAGTTGCTCAATTACTTTCCTCTGCCTGATATACTCAGCATGACTATCGACTGCTTGCTAGACCTCTCCCCTGAACAGCGATTGCCAATCATAGCAACCATACTAGGATTGTCAAGCTTTTCTTCATGTTAACGCAGTGTGTATGGGGCTGTAGTAAAACTCGGGAGTGCTTGAATATCTGTTTCTATTTTTATCACCTCTCCAAACACATGAGAGCAATAATGTAAGGAATGGGTTAAATTGTGTGTTTATTTGTTCCACTGTTAGCTGCAAATGTTAGCATGCCTGGCTAACTAACTTAGGACCAAATTACCATACTGCCAGCGATGCAATGAGCAACAGCTGCAACACTTAAAAAAAGGTTTGATTAGATTCACCCTGGACTAATTTTAGGGTGCTTTCACACCTGCCCTTTTTGGTTTGGTTCAGTCGAACTAAGGTTAATTTGCCCCCTAAGTGGGGTTTGTTTGGGCAGGTGTGAACACTGCAATCACACTTGGGTGTGCACCAAAACAACCGGACTGAGACCTTCTTGAAGAGGTGGGACAGTTGGATCGGTGTTGGTTTGCCCTAATCTGGCAGACGCTGAATGACAGGTCAGGGATCAGCTGTTGCTGCCCCTCACCACAGCCACCATCACAAATATATTCCTTTATGAATGCTTATAATAAAACGCTGTAAATCTGAAACTGAAACAACTATGAACTGAAGCACAGAAACAGTATAGCTCCAACAAAGTTGAGATTTGAAAAAAACAAGGGTACTCGAATCTCTAAACTGAATATCGAATATCGACCCAATGAATGGACATCTGAGTCGTTGAATATTTGGTCCAGCCCTACTTTATTTGCAGGATGTAAGCTCAGAAAAATCTTAAGTACTCATGACTGAAACATTTTGAAATAAAATATTGATGTGCAAATTACTTGCACGAAATTCTTAAAAAAGCATCTGCTGTGTAAAGGCCCTTTAACAAGGAAACCTTCCATATCAAATGTCTGGCCTTATCTAAACTCTCAGCACCAAGTGCCCTTGTGACTTCTGGAAGTGGCCAATAACTGATCTTTCTGTTTGGGACACATTGGTCGCCTCTGGGTTCAGGTCACACAGTTCTCAGTGAAGCACGGACTGCCTTCAAGTCAATTTATCTGGCTATGTGTCCCTCTCTTTGTCCATCAGTCGGTCTGCTTCTATCTGACAGAGTATGACCACATGACAGCTGGTCCACTACCATGTCAGTGGGCAGAAATAGACAGGCGGCCTGGCAACCTGCCTTCCTCGCGGGGCCTCAGCACTGACAGCTCCGGCCCTCCAGGACCACATCTAATGTCACACACTGTTGACACTTTTTCCAACACTCACTCACTCACTCCCGTCGCTTGTTCCTTTTTGCACACTTCAATTTTATTATTTTATGGTAAAGATTCTTTCATAGGAGGATGCGTGTGTGTGTGTTGGCAGCGTGTGAGCGCTGCGCATAGGCATGCACCGTGTGGTGTGTTATTTTCTACATCTTGGGAACTGCTGCATGACATGCATATGTTCAAACATCTCTCAGGACATGTTTTAAATGTCACAACACAGACATGTCACTGGCTGTGTTATAGCTGAACAGCGCTGTGGCAGCTGTAAAGCCTTTTTCTGGCCGGTAAACTGACTCCTGCCTCCGTTTGAAGGCAAATGCAGTCCCCCTGTCACACACATGCACATATACAAGACAAATCACAAAGGCTGCAGACAGAGTATCTACACACACGCAAATTGAGTAGGAGAACGTAATAGCAGAACCACTGTAACACTGTGTATTTTTGGAAACAGCTTATTATTGTCAGTGATGTCAGATTGGGTGGTTACGTTAGCACAGTCTGTGCAGCAAGTAGTGTGCAACTGATCAGGAAGAATAGAGACAGAAAAGCTGTTAGTAAGAGAGAGAGAGCTGAGAGGGATGGGGAGGAAAAAGAAGGACAGAGTGAGCTGAGAGAAAAAGTCAGACAGCAGCAGAGACACAAAGATAAAGAAGCAGAAGAAAAAAACCCGAGGTGAGCAGAGAGTTAGGAGAGAGTCAGAGGAGGCTGAAATAGTGAGACAGAAACCACGGAGAAGCGAGGGAACAGCAGCATGAAATAAGGAGGTAAGGAAAGGAAGGAAGACAGTGGGAGGAGAGATGGTTCCCCAGAGCGCCACTTAAGGGAGGCATCAGTGGAATTACCCATGAGAATTGGAGGCTCTTCATCACACATGGTGCGAGTTATTAAGTGTGCCTAGTAAGCAAATTCGCCCCACAGCGAGTGTGCACCTTCCACTGAACCCTGAACTGCTAGATTCACCCAGAGCAAACACCGCCACATCATCAGGCGCATGCTATGCCACGGTGTTAGTTCAGAAGTTGGGGAAGTTGACGGCCACCACAGGCTTCAAGGGGCTTTTATGATGTTGAGGTTGAAACTAAGAAATAAGTGTTGGCTGAATGCCTGAGTGCTGCAGTTGAATATTTGATGTCTAGTAATATCATGCCAGTATCTTGCTTTTGAACAGAATCTTCTCCTGATTAATTCAGGCCAGTATTCTGTCACCATCTATCCTTTCTCT